TTTGTATTTCTAGCTGCAAATATTACTGCAGACACAAACTGTAGCCAGGAAATCAGAAGACGTTTACTTCTTGGGAGGAGAGCAATGTCCAATTTCGATAAAATAGTGAAGAGTAGAGACATTACACTGGCAACGAAGATCCGCATAGTTAAAGCAATGGTATTCCCCGTAGTAACCTACAGATGTGAGAGCTGGACCATAAGGAAGGATGAGTGAAGGAAGATAGATGCTTTTGGTGTTGGAGGAAAGTTCTGAGAGTGCATTGGACCGTGAGAAGATCTAACCAGTCCATACTTCAGGAAATGAAGCCCGACAGCTCATTGGAGGAAAGGATAGTAGAGGCAAAGATGAAGGACTTTGGCCACATCATGAGACGAAAGGAAAGCTTAGAGAAGACAATGATGCTGGGGAAAATGGAAGGAAAAGGAAGAGGGGCCAACCAAGGGCAAGATGGATGGATGGTATCCTTGAAGTGACTGACTTGACTCTGAAGGAGCTGGGGAGGTGACGGCCAACAGGGAGCTCTTGTGTGGGCTGATCCATGAGGTCGTGAAGAGTCAGAAGCAACTGAACGAATGAGCAACAACAATATTGGGCTTACTGGAATCTTGGCAGTTTTTTAAAAATGGATAACCAAACCCACTTATGATCAAGAATTAGGATTCAGGGTCAAGAATCACTTGAAAATATTGTATTTCTTCATAAGCACCAAAATGCAGCTCTCATCAAGTTGGAATAATGTTAAAAACTTTGATGATCCTTATGTGACTCAACAGTAAAGCCTTGAGTATCAGCAGTTGTATTTAGTCACCTAGAATCTAGAAGTTGTATTTAGTCACCGAGAAGTATTTACATTCAAAGATTAGAAAACAAAAATAAAAAGCAGCATGTTTATTTCTCAAAAGAAACAAACTTTAAAACAGCAGAGAGGAAACAGGCAGGGACATCTAATTACCTTTCAAGAAGAGTTTGCTCCAGGCACAGTCAGCCCATTGTATGCTAATCAAGGTGGTCAGCTGAAACATTCACACCTAGCCCAACTGACAAAAGTTCTTTGTCTCACGCTGGTCATTCCACAGATAAATAAACCCTTTTCCCCAGTTCCAACAGACCTCACCTCTGAGGATGCTTGACATAGATGCAGGCGAAACGTCAGGAGAAATGCCTCTAGAACATGGCCATATAGCCCGAAAAAACCCACAAGAACTTAAACTTTAAAAGTCTCAGGAACAGATTATTGAAGGGTTTGTTTGAGTGCAAACAAGCCAGTTCCCCCCTTGACAACTTTCCCTACAACCAGGCAGGCAGAAGGAGATTGAAGGTCATCATGTGAGCCTAGAACAAAAGAAATGGAAATGGTTTATTCATATTTTTAAGGGGGCGTAATGTAGCGAAATGTCTAATTAAAATGTAAGTTTTAGATTTGTTTATTAATGTCAGTTGATGAATGGCTTGAGCTAGGGCATTTCCATAGTGACGCAGCTCCCTAGGCAGAAGAGAACGGGGAGGAGCCAACTGTCACTAAAATAAAGAATGTTGGTTTGAAAAGGGTCAGTTGGCTGGAGTCAGGAGTTAGCTGAAGTCAGCTGGAGAGTTAACTAGGGAATAGCTAAGGTAGTTGACTGATAGCAGGAAGCTAGTGACAGTAGAGAGGTTTTAAAGTACCAAGGGGTCTTTTTGCCATCCATTCTTACCATAACCAGTAACCTATCTCATAATCCTCTCCCTTGCGCATAGTCCCACATCCCATAACTTGGTCAACCCAATCCCCTGTGGATACGGAGATCCAAATTATCTCCTTCATCCATGGGTCCTTTTTGCGTCCATTTCCCTCCCCAAGGGGGCGGTCAGCGTATCTAGAATCTAGATTTGCTTGCTTTCACGGGATCCTCGTGTGGACGTTTATCTTTCCTATTATTTCACCTTTCTTCACCCATGGGTGCCCAAAGCGGTTTGGGGTCTTTTATTTGCCCCATGTGGTCCCTTACGTATGTTTCCATGCCCCTTGGGTGATGGATCTCTGTGGATAAGGTCCCCCGCTGTCCTTGGGACCTCTTTTGTGTGCGAATGTTTAATTTCTTTATGCTTTATTTTATATAGAGCTTTGGTGAAGCAGCCATCATGGTGATCTCTAAAACTGAGATATCTTCACTCAGAGACACCTTCAAGCCACCTCCCTGCGCTACATCTTGATAAACATTGGACATTTGAATCTGTACTGTATAAACATGCTTGTTTTACCATGTATTTATCTCAGCTCATTTTGGCGAGATACTGCGGGTTGAAATCTCAACCATCTGATTGAATATAATACTTTGGAGGCTTCTTCTCCAACTTGGTGACCATCATTTTGGAACATTGGTTTCTCTTGTAGCTTGCTAGGCACATGGACTCACAAAATGGCTGTCAACCAGTACCAGCAGCCACTTAACAAACCTGGTATCCACACCTTTTGGTTCTGGTACCACGGCACAGATCTTGCCATCCGTGGCCATTTTAAATTGCTCTATTTAATGTGCAGTTATAAATGCATCAAAAGTGCATGACCTGGTGCTGACATGTTGCTTTTATAGGAGACAGACTAGGCTAATTATGTCTCCAAGCACTCCAGTTTGTAAGCTTTGGTCCCTTTTAAACATTTTTTACTGTTCCTGGGACAAGTTTGAAAACTTAACAATTCCCTTTCCAGATAAACAGCTTTGAGATAGAGAATACTGTGCTAGATTTGATGATATTGGAGAGAAAACAGTCCCAGTTTCCTTTTGTTTTCTTACTGCTTCTATTCTTATTGCCATGATATGGCAATTTTACAACGACATATCATGGCAGATATTCTGCAGCTACATTGCTATTATTTCTCTGTTTCATTGATTTATCTTTCATTGATGTAACTGTGACATTTCACATTTTCTTTATGGAGTTGTGTTGTTTCTCTTTAATGGTGTTGGTTCTCTTTAATGAGAAATGCCTTTCAGTCATAGGAGACATATTACAGATATGTTTTTGGAAAAGATACTGCTGATCTCCTAATCCAAAGAAAGATTTTAAAAAATCTTAATTATTAGTCCTCCTATTGACTTACATTGGGAAACTAAAATTCTACAAGTGCACAACCCTGTGGGGTAGTTTCAACATACTTCTTGGCAGTTTTTTTTAAAAAAAATAGATAACCAAACCCACTTAGGAGCATTCGGGGCCAAGAATCACTTGAAAATATTGTATTTCTTTATAAGCCCAAAAATGCAGCTCTCATCAAGTTGGAATAACAACTGATGCTCTGGCCAGAGTGAAGACAGAGGGAAGCAGAAGACATTTCCATCCTGTCTTTACTAATAATATAATATAGTATATTGTATATACATATAATATTTATATTATAATGTAATACAATATAATGCTAGTAATAATAATACAATATTATAATTATATATTTATATTACATGTAATATTACTAATAATATTACAATATAATGGTAGTGTTGTAGTACAGCATGATAGTAACGTTACTACTACTGGTAGAAGGGAGAAGAGGGCTGTGCAGGTGTTGGAGGAGCAGCAGCAGCAGCGAAAGCGGATTAGAGACATATTCATGGCTCCAACTGATTCCGAGTCCTTCGAGAGTTTCTCAGATTGTGAAAAGGGGGAAATAGAGGAAAGCAGGGGAGTTAAGCGGGCTACTCGAGAACAAGAATCAGATGAGGAGATCCACAGGAAGAGTATCCGTGATATACTTAGCGCTCCAACAGAAGATGAAGACTTTGTGGGTTTTGAAAGGAGTGATGGGACTGGGAGTGACGATGGGGAGGAAGATGCTTTAGACTGGACCTGTGTGCAGGAGATTAGGGACATCTGTACTCAGCCTACATCCAGTGATGACTTTGAGGGGTTTGCAGAGGACTGGCAATCTGGTAATACTTGGGAAGACCTAAGTCTTGAAAGACGCTGGCAAAGGTGGAGGGATGGGTGTCAGTGCTCAGCTGCAGGGAATGGGGCAGCTGAAAGTGATGATGAAAGGCTGGGGAGCAGTTCATCCTCTGATGAGGAGTTATAGGATATAAGTTGGTTTGATTCAATGGGTCTTTGCAGAAGGCAAAGTGTCTTATCGGGTTTGGATCTTTGTTACTGCCATTACTCTCAAGTTTGGGTCCTTGGACTATAGATCTCCGTGTTTCCGTGACTTCTGGCTGGAACTCCGTAAGTGCTGACTTCAACCTCCCCTTTGACTCTGGACTGTGTTTTGACGACGACTTTGCTTTTTGGACTGCTTCATCTCATTTTGGACGTGCCTGGACTTCGGACTGTTTTTGGACTTCGATTTTGCATGCTTGTTTTCTTGTGCTTTTTGGACCTTTTGAATTTCAAGCAGATTGCTGTAACTTTTTGTTATCCCAGATTATACTCCAGTATAATCCAGATTATATTTAAGTTGGGTTTTTTGCTTAGCGGTTGCTATAGACTCTTAGTTTGTGCTAGAGGCACTGAGTTAAGTGTCTCTAAGCCTTTTTTGTGTTTAATAAACCTTTGTTTGGACCTTTTATACTGTGTTTGGCATTCTTGAGGCTTCTGGGTCTTGACAGCTAATGAATTATTTTCTAAAGTTTATATTTACATTACATGTAATATTACTAATAATATTACAATATAATGGCATAGTGCAATATAGTAATATATAATACTGATATTGTACTATGCTAATAATATAATATATTGTAAGATAATATATCTTGTAAACTGCTCTGAGTCCCCTTCGGGGTGAGAAGGGCAGCATATAAATGCCATAAATAAATAAATAAGTAAATAATGTAAAAAAAAAACTTTGACGATCCTTATGTGACTCAACAGTAAAGCCTTGAGTATCAGGAGTTGTGTTTAGGCTTGACTTTTTTGTGTATACCTTTTGGGCACGTGCCAACAATCCAGACAAACTTCTTCTAAATTAACTGTATCAATTGGGACAACTTCATCAGGAAACCCACTGGTCACAAAAGAAGGAACAGGAATAACACAAGATATTTATTATTTAAATAATTCCCTGAAGATCCCAAGGCACGGGTGATTAATATATTCAAGAAGTATTTACATTCAAAGATTAGAAAACAAAAATCAAAAAGCAGCATGTTTATTTCTCAAAATAAACCAACTTTAAAAGTCTCAGGAACAAATTATTTAAGGGGTTGTTTGAGTTCAAACAAGCCAGTTCCTCCCTTGACAACTTTCCCGACAACCAGGCAGGCGGAAGGAGATTGAAGTTCATCATGTGAGCCTAGAACAAAAGAAATGGAAACGGTTTATTCATATTTTAAGATATACAAAGATATCTCACACTAAAGACAGTCATTTAATGCAATTGTCAGTATCGTGGCACTGAATGCATTCATGTTTTAGTATATAAAAATGCAACATGTGTAGTGAATCTACTTCCAGTGAGGCCTAGAAAAATGGTAGGCCCAAGGAGTCGGCAGCCATCTTAGAAGAACGTGCAGAGGGACTCCATTTTGGTGGCTCATTTTCCAGGAGGGGGCGTGTGTATTTAAATCAGCCTTTGGAGGGAAAATGAGAGAGGGATTTGATTGGCTGAGTCAGAGGAGGCGGAGCCTGGCTTGCCAAGAGGAAAAAACTTGCTTTTAAAAAGAAGTTTTTGAGATCCCTGAAGGAGTTGGAGTTTGGGATTTGAAGAGAAAGGGTGTTTACTTGGATCTCTCCCCTAGAAGCGAGTCAAAGGAGATTACTAGGTTGGTCCGAATGGCCAACATACAGCGACTTGTTAATGAAGAAGGAAGGGAAAATACAACTAAAACCACAAGAGGAGATAACATCACAATACCAAAACATATCCTGGTTCCAATTTTTACAAATAAAGGAACATTTCAGTAAAGACTCAAAGATAGGATTCACGGATAAAGATGATTTTTGGCAACCTCTGATAAAGAACGGAAAGAAAATTATAACTAAGATCTATTAAAAACTACTAGAATGGTCCACTGAGACCGAATAAATAAAAGAATGCATGATCAAATGGGCCAGAAACATTGGAAGACCAATACATTTAAGAGAATGGGAACAATTATGGAAATTGAAACTAAAATACACATATGCAACTGATCTGAAGGAGAACTGGTACAAAATGTTCTTTCGATGGCACATGACCCTACAGGAGCTGGGCCTAATGTATAAAAATATCCAAAATAAATGCTGGAAGTGCCAAACACATGTAGGAACATTCTACCATATGGGGTGGACATGCCCCAGAGCTAGAAAATACTGGAAAATAAATGCTGGAAGTGCCAAACACATGTAGGAACATTCTACCATATGAGGTGGACATGCCCCAGAGCTAGAAAATACTGGAAAACAATCCAGGGAGCCTCTCAGAAGATATTACAAACAACAATACAATTAAAACCAGAATACTTCCTTCTCGGCATTACGGATGAAGACATTGCGCTTGAAAATAATAAGGACAAACTGTTCACCTATCTGACAACAGCCACAAGGATAATATATGCTAAGAAGTGGAAACTAAAAGAACTGCCAACCAAAGAAGAATGGGAAACTAAAGTATCCGAAATCATGGACATGGACTTATTGACATTCTACCTAAAAGACCCGGGGGGCAAACCTATAAACCCAACAGATTGGACCCGGTATAAAATTATAAGGAATCACAACGAAGCCCACGAGGACTCGATACTCCCAAATGAGTACGAGATATATAATTGAAAGCAAAAAATTAGAGATCTGAGAGATCTAAAAGAGAAGTGACCTACATTAAAAAAAAATATGGCACCAGTGTGAAAATTAAAACTATCCAGGGAAGATAAAGGTGGAAGTCAACAAATAGAACCTACTTCTAATCTGAATTTTACTCATTATGTATATTTCTCTCTTTTTCTCCTAACATTCCTTCCCTTTTTTTTCCTACCTCTCCTTCTTTTTTTCCTCTTCGACTGTTTGCTTTTCCCGTCCACTCCCCAATACATCCTTAACCCATCCCTGTACCCCCTTATACCTAACCCCATCCTATCACCCTTTCCCATTGTGATCTTCTTTCTGCTTTTAACCTCAGTAACACAAGCCTTAGGGCTGACACAATCACACTCTTTCACCTCATATAAGCCAAGGGCTTAACAGCACTGTGGAGTGGGTGTGTTTCGATGATCTTTCAAAAGGGTTTTGTATTTGGCCAGGCAGAGAGTTGCCAGCTTTCTGTATATCATATCAGCTTTTTGGGATTTTGGGATTTTTGTTATCGAATAAATATTCCCCTGAATAAGTTCCCTACATCATGTCACAATTGGTGGAACAGCGTTGGGATTATTCTTATCCCCTCAAGAATAAGTCTACTACTTATGCAATAAAAACAAGGTGATATTGTGATAATAGTTACCCAGCATGGTTGCTTCCTTTAGAAACTTGTAGCTTGTCTCAAATGTCATTTGTTGCAAGGGGGATGAACTGGACTGTATTCCATGCCGATTCAGTGGTTTGTAAATACCTTCGAAACACATGTAGTCAGACACCAGAGAGAGATGTCGAGGATCTACAACAATTCCTGTTAGCAGAGAGAAGGAATATAGAGACTATGGCTATGGTGAGAGGTAAGGTGAACTTCAACAAAGCCTATCACCCCACATCTTCATTTAAATCTCATTAATAAAATATGAAATCCTGAGGTTACTGTATCATATGCTGGGAGGAAAAACCCAAAGCAGCCAATACCCATCTATGATACTTTACGAGGACTACATCCCAGCAACAAAAGTGAATGATGATTACATTGAAGGTTGACAACTTCCTGGAGTTGAGAGCTTACCCTGGTTCTCCTCACAACCTGTATGGGGGTCACATCCTAGTAAAGCATCTGCTGGGAGGCATAATGCTCAAGGAATATACACATTGTTGACAAGGGACCACTTGACCAGCGACCATTTTGACCAACATTTGTACCAAAAGGATTATAAATTGGTTTTTGGCCAACTTTAGATTCAGTTTGGTTATTTGCGGATTAGGAAAATTGATTGGATAGACCACATCAGCTTTAGTTTCTGATACAGAACATATGCCATCCAGTAGTCATCATCTGCCTGGCCACAGAAAACCATATTTAATAATCTAGAGCTGATGTGGTAGTAGTAATCTTTCGTGGGTAGTCAGCCTCTCCTCTCCCGACATTGCCGTTGCCTTGGCATTATACGAGGGTTTCATGAGACCAGTCGCTCCTGTTGCAAAGGTGTAGTAACAGTGAAGCCATGGATCACATTTTCATTCTTGCAGACCACTGGTGGTCCATGTACCACAGGCTGGTAAATCACTGTTCTCCATCTTATCTAAGAATCATGAGGCAGCTCTAAGCCTGACACGAACACGATCAAAATATGTAAAACAGCCTAAATGTGAAGTATATGATCTTTTATATTACGGAATACAATACAAAGGCCTTTAATAATAATGAGTCCAAAATTGGAGAACAAGCCCTATGAGGGGCAGTTTAAGGAGCTGGGCATGTTTAGCCTGAAGAAGAGAAGGCTGAGAGGAGATATGATAGCCATGTATAAATATGTGAGAAGAAGCCACAGGGAGGAGGGAGCAAGCTTGTTTTCTGCTTCCTTGGAGACTAGGACGCAGGAACAATGGCTTCAAACTACAAGAGAGGAGATTCCATCTGAACATGAGGAAGAACTTCCTGACTGTGAGAGCCGTTCAGCAGTGGAACTCTCTGCCCCGGAGTGTGGTGAAGTCTCCTTCTTTGGAAGCTTTTAAACAGAGGCTGGATGGCCATCTGTCGGGTGATTTGAATGCAATATTCCTGCTTCTTGGCAGGGGGTTGGACTGGATGGCCCATGAGGTCTCTTTCAACTCTTTGATTCTATGATTCTATGATTTATTCTTAAACTCTTTTCTTGGTAGGCTGCAATTCATTGACAGTAGAAGTGACTTGCGAAATTGCAAATCGATTCTGGTGTGAGAAAATTGGCCGTCTGCAAGGATGTTGCCCAGGGGATGCCCGGATGACGGATCTTTTACCATACTGTGGGAGGCTTCTCTCATGTCCCTGCATGAGAAGCTAGGGCCTGACAGACGGGAGTTTACCTTGCCCCGGAGATTCAAACTGCCAAAATGTCAGTCGACCAGTCCTGCTGGCACAAGGGTTTAACCCAGTGTTTCCGAAATTTTTTTGTCCAGGGACCACTTTGACCGGGTATCCTTTCCATCATTAGTACCAAAAGGGTTACGAATCAGTTTTTGCACAACTTTAGATTCGGTTCACTTATCTCAGGTGCTGATTCAGAAAATTACATTGGATAGACCATATTAGCTCTAGTTTCTGATACAGAACATATGCCATGGTCAGTGATACGGAAGGAATGGTACATGGCGCAAAAGGAGTGAAAATAAAATAAATTAAATGAATAAATAAATTAATAAATAAAGAGGAAGGAGGCTCGCGGACCAGATTTTTGTCCTTACAGCCCACTGGTGGTCTGCAGCCCATAGATTAAGAACCACTGGTTTAACTCATTTGCCACTGGCGGCTCCGACACTAGAGTGATTGCATGAGGATAATAATAATAATAATAATAATAATAATAATAATAATAATAATAATCCTTTATTTATACCCCACTAACATCTCCCGAAGGACTCGGTGCGGCTTACAAGAGGCCGAGGCCCAACACATCAATAAAACAACAGCATAACGAATACAACAATAAATAAAACTCACAAAACAAGCAATGAACATTAAAACAATAGCAATAAACATTAGACAATAACACCACAACGCATTTAAAACTAAGGCCGGGCCAAATGTAATGGTTAAAAAATTAAAAAATGCTGGATATGACAGGTGAAATAGATAGGTTTTTTGGAGATGCTGATTCAGAAAACTGATTGGATAGACCATATCAGCATCAGTTTAGTTTTGGAGATAGGTGTGGTGTGCAATTGTGCCTTGAATGTGTAAGCCGCCCTGAGTCCCCTTCGGGGTAAAAGTAAACCAAATAAATAAATAAATAAATGTGCAGACAATCTTAAATCTCTAGTAAAGTGCATTTGGGACATGATGCTAGGAGTTTCCTATTCTGGGAAGGCACACTGGAACAACCACGTCTTCAAGCTCTTCCTAAAGACTGCCAATGTTGAGGCTTGTCTGATATTCTTGGGGAGAGAGTTCCAGAGTCGGGGGGCCACCACAGAGAAGGCCCTGTCCCTCGATGAGACTGTGATTTCTCCCTTTGGGTAACTGCATGAGAATGAGACTGTGATTTCTCCCTTTGTTGATCCTGCATCTCATTGTATACCACCTTCTTTTAATTAAACAAAACAGAAAGCTGCATAAGAAGCAAATTCAAGTTTCTCGCAGCAGCCCGTGGTTTGAATTTTGAATTTGATCTCATCTGATTTACAACTATCTTACCATAAGCAGCAAAGACATCTTTAATCTCTTTCTCAAGGACTTTCAAGGCAGCTTCAATGCCATAGGTGCTGGCCATTGCATGAATGTCATTACTATAAAGCTTGTTCACGTCTATAATCTAAAATAAAAGGAGTACAGAAGGTCACCGCTGAGTTAATGTCCATAATATCCCTCCCTAATGAATGATTTTTGTGAATAGATAAAAGTATGGTGAACAGAACATAAACATAAGAAACGTGTGCGATTTCTCTGCAAGCAAAAAGTATAGCAAGGTAACGAGCAATGGGAATTTCCCTGTAATTGAGTGCCAAAGACTGAATTTTTAATACCATTGATGTCTAATTGTTTTCATGTTTGTATATTTGTAGATTTTAAATTATATTGAAATGCTTTTAATGTAAGTCATTTTGAGTCTCCTAGTGGAGAGAGAAAGTGGGGTATAAACAACAACAAGAACAAGAATCACTCCCCCCACAGAAACCTTGATTCAGTTATTCAGAGCAGGAGAGGGGAAGCAGAATGAGAGGTGGGACATCGTAATGATTTATGATGACTACCTCAGGTTTGGAAACTAAACTTTTCATGTTCCAACCTTAAGAGATATTTGCAATCTGCCAGTTTGAATTTATCCCTTTTCTTCAACTTCAAGCTATATTACAGAGTATGAGCTGTACATAACTCCGAGAAAAAGGAAAAATAACACTATGTAACACAATTTTTGTTCCTGGGTTGTAAATATCATTTCCCAATTGGTCCTATCATAAAAAGATGGAAAAGGTTTATTAAACTGCAAAAACTTTGTTTTTACAGCACTCCCCACAGCACATTTTGCTATAGTTTTTCAATGCATATCTCACAGTCTCAACCAATTCAACAACGTTTGTGGCAGCCACAAAAATGGAGTGTCTACCGTATAACAACTATTCTCAAAGTAAGTACCACAAAATTAAACAGGAAATAACACTTTCAAACCAGGAACAGAACATTTTTCAAATAGATAGTGTTAATACATTTAGGAAGCATTTTAAGCAGATGTTTCAATATTGTGAGTTACTGTCTGTGTTCATCAAACATTTTATGATGGCCTTTAAAAGCAGGAGTGGAAATGGCAGGTTCCATCACTGATTTTTCTGTCACTCTAATGGGAAACACAGAATTTATCATTACTTACATCAGCGTAGCGGAAAAGCTCTGGGAGATTTATTCCTTCAGTCTGTAAAGTGAGCACCACCTCTCCATTTCTATTGCTGGTTTCATTGAGGAGACACCGAGTAATCCCCTTTGTCTCATGGATAACAGTGTTATTGGCCAGAGATGTCACAAGTGAAGGAAGATCAAAGTACTCCTTTATCAGAGGAAGCTTCAGTGAGATCTAGATGCAAACACAGTGGAAAGTTATTTTGCTCTTGTAGCCTGAGCAGATCTGTGTATACATTTTCCTCCCTTTTCCAGAGCCTTACCTCACACCACAGTTCATTATCAATGTCATATGTGTAGTTCTCTATAGCTTCGTGGCTCTCTAAAACAGCATTAATTCTTTGTTGTGCCAAATCATTTGGCTTCTTTTTTTTATGGCGAGTCCTTTGACAAGAGGAAGGAGCTGAAGGCTCATCCTGACTTTCAGACGCCTCTGGATTCAGTTCGTTCTCTTCTTCTTCTGGAATGTCCTCATCCTCTGCCTCATTATCATCATCACTCTCATAATCCACCTGTGACAGAAAGACTCAAATCATACGAATAGTAGTGTAAAACAAAGCACATAGGGATTTTTTTGTAATTATATATCCATTTATCATTTTATTGATGGCCTCCATAGTATGGTTTTATATACTTAACCCCTGAACCCCAGTATGAATAGAACAAATAAATATAGGACATCATCAAAGCATTCTCACCAAGAGTATCAAATTAAAAAAGATCTATTAAAAATGCAAAGTGCCCTTGGTATTCATAAGRGTTAAGTCATGCGATGTGCGAGGCTTGAYGAATGCAAGGCTGGGGTGAAAATTCCTGGAAGAAACATTAGCAACCTTAGATATGCAGATGACACCACATTGATGGCCGAAAGCGAGGAGGAGCTGAGGAGCCTTCTAATCAAGGTGAAAGAAAAAAGTGCAAAAGCTGGGTTGCAGCTAAACATTAAAAAAAAAACCAAGATTATGGCAACAAGAATGATAAGACAACTGGGAAATAGAGGGAGAAAACATGGAGGCAGTGGCAGACTTTGTATTTCTAGGTGCAAAGATTACTGCAGACACAGACTGCAGCCAGGAAATCAGGAGACGCTTACTTCTTGGGAGGAGAGAATGACCAATCTTGATAAAATAGTGAAGRGTAGAGACATCACACKGGMAACAAAGATCTGCACAGTCAAAGCAATGGTATTCCCCATAATCACCTACGAAAGTGAGAGCTGGACCATAAGGAAGACTGAGCGAAGGAAGATAGATGCTTTTGAACTGTGGTGTTGGAGAAAAGTTCTGAGAGTGCCCTGGACAGCGAGAAGATCCAACCAGTCCATACTTCAAGAAATAAAGCCTTACTGCTCATTGGAGGGAAGGATAGTAGAGGCCAAAATGAAGTACTTTGGCCACATCATGAGAAGAAAGGAAAGCTTAGAGGAGACAATGATGCTAGGGAACATGGAAGGAAAAAGGAAGAGGGGCCAACCAAGGGCAAGATGGATGGATGGTATCCTTGAAGTGACTGGATTGACTTTGAAGGAGCTGGGGGTGGTGACGATCGACAGAGAGCTATGGCATGGACTGGTTCATGAAGTCACAAAGAGTCGGAAACGACTGAACGAATGAACAACAACAACAACAACTCTTTCAACATGGGAATAATGTCCTTCGAAAGTTACTTTTTTGGACTACAGTTCCTAAAATCACTCAGCCAGCACAGTCTGCATGATTCTAGGAACAATACTTTAAAAATATGCATCTTGCAAGCTTTTTCTTCGACTGAAACACAAATAGGACTTCCACTTAGCTAATAGTCACAAACAGTCCCATATATATACATTTTCCTCAGATCCAAATTCAAAACTGGACATATATGTAAATGGTATCAGAATTTCTGTCAAGGATTTTCTAAATGTCGCTTTGGCCTCATGAGGTCCCCAAGACCCAACTTCGACAGTATGTCATTACCTCCTCTTCCTGGTTAGCTTTTCTTTTTGCATCTGCTGCATCTGCATCCTCTTCGCCTGTTTCACCATCTGGAACTCTTTCTTCTCCCTCAGGTTCTGCTTCATTGTCATCCTGTGCCAAAAGACAAAGGACTGAGTTCTGTTTGAATTCTGATCTTTTCATGGTGAAGATTGAAAGCAGCTTTAGTCAGCTAAAATCCTCCATTAAACAGACAACTACCTGTGCCAAACTTCCTTAATTTGAAGTGGCACTAATATTCAGAAGAGGAACGAAGAACATTTTTTTCAGTCTAAGTACCGTATATTCCGGCATATAAGACAACTGGGCATATAAGATGACCTCCAATTTTTCCAGTTAAAATATAGAGTTTGGGATATACTCGCTGTATAAGACTACCTCTCTTCCAACGCACACCAAATAAAAATTTAAAAAGCATCAGATTTGATTTCAATATGGTAATTTTCCTATTACTGTACCTCCTTCTCTGCCTGTCAGATCTCGCACATGTGCACCTTCACTGCAGTCTTCAGGAGCGGGATCTGAGAGGCAGAGGAGGAAGTACAGTAATAGGATACAAGGGTGGGCCAGACAGGTAAAAGGGTTGTGTTTTTCTGGGCCCAGAGCCACTCTATCTCTTTTTTCAATACCCCGGGCGCCTGCAGCTTGCTCCGCCCTTTACTTAAACCTTCCTGGTGAGGCACCCCTTCACCTCACCATCGGGACCACATTAAGTCCATGAATCCTGATGAATCCTTTCATACAGTCGCTGCATACAGCAGGGACATGGCCACTGCCATTTTTGAGCTTCCCCCACCATATGTGGCAACCACAGATTCTCCAATCCGATTGGAAGTTTCAGCACCCGCTCTATAAGATTACTCCCGTGTATAAGACTACTCCCGCGTATAAAACTACTTCCATGTATAAGACGACTCCCGCGTATAAGATGACCCCACTTATAAGACGACCCCTGACTTTTGGGTTAAAAAGTAGTCTTATACACCAGAATATAAGGTAATGCATTCCTTTATTACAGGCAAACTCTGTGCAAAGAAAGGTATTTATCTAGTCCTGCAATTAGGCTTGTGTTTTGTTAGTAAAAGACTTCCCACTCCAGTCTAATTGCTGCATCCATATATATGAAAAAAGAGCTGTCGTGACAATTGATATAAATATGTGCGGAATAGAGGCCACAAACATCAATTTTCTGTCCTGTTTAGCAGCCAACTTATTGGGTAGACTAACAGGTTATACAGGGTGAGGCAGCATGACTTCCTTTTTTAAAATGTGTGCCATTCAGTTGGTTGAAGATGTAGCAGAGTGCTAGTAGTCTCGTTCGAGAGGCGGGAGTATAAAGGTTTGTTCTGACACAGTTCAGTTGCCATCATGCGTTGGAACAGTGAGGAGCGTGATTTTCCCATTGAGGCCTACTTTTCGAGCGGATTTGGAGTGGCCAGCCCACTCTCCAGATTTGGCCCATTGTGATTTTTTTTCTATGGGGTTTTTTGAAATCCCGTGTTTATGTGAACCGTCCAAGGACCCTACAAGATTTGAAGACCAACATCCAGGAAGAAATTGCCAACATAACGCCTGCTATGCTGGCAAGAGTCATGACAAACGCCAGAAATCGGTTTACTCAGTATATGGAGAATGGGGGACATCACCTACTTAATTTGATCTTCAAAACTATGTAAAACAAAACTTTAGGTATGCGCCTACATTATAAAAAAATTCTGATTCATACAATGGTTTTTATTAAGTTTTGAAAAAAGAAAGTTATGCTGCCTTACCCTGTATCATATACGTATATGTGTGTGCGTGTGTATATATCTATCTATAACTATGGTTGGATGACTCTTTGTCAGGAGGGCTTTGATTATGTTTTTTGCCCTGGTGAAGGGAGTTGGACTGGATGGCCTTAAGGCAGCATTTCTCAACTTGGTTGGGGGGGTCATGAGGGGGTATCAGAAGGGTCTCTAAATTCCATCAGAAAACACAGTATTTTCTGTTGGTCATGGGGGTTTTGTGTGGGAAGTTTGGCCCAATTCTATCATTGGTGGGGTTCTGAATGCTCTTTGATTGTAGGTGAACTATAAATCTCAGTAACTACAACTCCCAAATGTCTATTTCCCCCGAACTCCATCTGTGTTCATATTTGGACATATGGAGTATTCATGCCAAGTTTAGTCTAGATCAGCGGTCGGGAACCTTTGGCTCTCCAGGTGTGGTGGACTTCAACTCCCACAATGCCTTGAGGCTCGGCACTAGCGGGCGGGGCCGAAGCGGCGAGGAGGCGCGTTGCCCGCAGGGGTTTCGCCCGCTCTCTCCCTCCGAGGCCAGCCTTTGCTGCCCGTCCTCCATGAAAAAGAGGCTCTTTTTCATGGAGGACGGGCAGCAAAGGCTGGCCTCGGAGGGAGAGAGCGGGCGGAAACCCCTGCGGGCAACGCGCCTCCTCGCCGCTTCGGCCCGCCCGCTAGTGCCGAGCCTCAAGGCATTGTGGGAGTTGAAGTCCACCACACCTGGAGAGCCATAGGTTCCCAACTGCTGGTCTAGATCCTTCACTGTTTGAGTCCACAGTGCTCTCTGGATGCAGATGAACTACAATTTCAAAACTCAAGGTCAATGTCCACCAAACCCTTCTAGTGTTTTCTGTTGGTCATGGGAGTCCTGTGTGCCAAGTTTGGTTCAATTGCATCGTTGGTGGAGCCGAGAATGCTCTTTGAATCGGTTTACTCAGTGTTATGGAGAATGGGGGACATCACCTACCTAATTTGATCTTCAAAACAACGTAAAACAAAACTTTAAGTATGCGCCTACATTATAATTTTTTTTCTGATTCATACAATGGGTTTTATTAAGTTTTGAAAAAAGGAAGTTATGCTGCTGCACCCTATAGTTGTTCTTTTCAACTACAGTGCTAAGACACCAGCATTTTCTTTAATTACATTTTTAGCTTTGTATTTGTATGTTTCTGTAAAATGCTAACAATAGCGCAAGACATTTTCAGGAGGAAATGTATTAAAATATTTTGAAAATTTAATTGTCACCCATTCACAAACATTATTCCGAAATCAGTTCAAGACAGCGAGAATGAGCCATGGATAAAATTATTTCTAAAATATTCATAAATATTAGATATTTTTACAAAATACAGGCTATTCACAATACTGCTTATTCAAGTGGACTAGACCTTTACCTGGTTTTCCTGGGAGGCATCATTTCCCACACCACCTTCTACGTCTCTCTGAACTGCTCTTCGAGTGCTGACAGTGTTGTATAATGCCAACTTTGAAGATTTCTTTTTAATTGTTTCCAGCAATGTTTTAAAGAATCTATGTGGAAGAAAGTAAGAAAACTGTGCAGATCTCAGTTGTTGGATTCCAGACTACATGCAATCACAATCACAGCACAGTGTGTTCTCTTCTTGGCTCCATTGGACAAAGGAGGAAGAATCTTTGAGGCATCAGCCCTAATATCAGTATCACATTTATCACCAATCTTTAGGCTAGACAACTTTCAAAGCATCTCATTAAATAGTAAGTTTACAGGATTGGCTAGGTTCACATTTTGTGTATCTACAGAATATAAAATCTAGTCTTTGATGGGTGGTGAGAAAACATTGAAGGAGTTGTGATAAATATAGAGTACTGTATAAAAATTGATTGAGCTAAATTGGGAATTCCTAGTGTAAATTTGAAATGAAGAAGAATAGTTTTCATCTCATTATCTCACTATTAGCTACACTGGATACTGGTCTGCTTCTGGGATAAATACAAAGTCCTGGTCACTACCTTTAAAGCTCTAAACGGCTCAGGTCCAGCCTATTTGGCTAATCGCATCTACTCCTATAAACTAACTCGGGCACTGAGATCAGCAGAGGAGGCCCTGCTTTCAGTCCCACCCCCATCCCAAGTACAGTTGGTAGGAATGAGAGAGGGGGCCTTCTCCATGATCGCCCCCCACCTCCGGAACTCCTTCCTGAAAGAACTGAAAACTGCCCTCCTTTCCTTTAAAAAACAACTAAAAACTTACTTTTGCTCATTAGCATATGAAAAGGAGGAGGATTAGATGATGAGAGACCGTTACCAGACCTCAGATTGGAAACTATTATTATATTTGAGCTTCGTTAGACCATGTTAGCCCAGTTAACATTACCAATCACAAAACTAACCCACATATCTGAGTTGCAAATTAATGTGGATGCTTGATATTTATATTTCGGTTTCATGTTAGATATAAGGTTTTTTTAGATAGGTTACATTTTATTTTATCTATACATATTATGTTATATGTTATTTTCAAATGTGGGGCTGTTTTGGGATATTGTCTACATTTGTTATTGAACTGAGGCATTTAATGTTTGCCTTTTTTGTTTGCTGGAATCTGCCCTGAGTCGCCTTTGGGAGATAGAGTGGAATATAAATAAAGTTTATTATTATTATTATTATTATTATTATTATTATTATTATCTGATTAAATTTCCTATTATATTTAAATAGCTGGCAAATGAAAACTACAGTTTCATGGTTAGGAGTCATACGTCTATAATTTTGTGATTCAAGACTTCACTGAAACTTATAAAGGAACAGGCAATACCAAAAATGTTTTTTTTTTTACTTCTGCAGCTTGACAGCAAAGTCTGGAGAAGAAATAAACATGAGTAGATACTGACCGTGACTCCATAAAGAGCAAAATGTCACTTGACTTCACATATTTCTCTTCCTGGTAGCATTCATATGGTAGAAAACTAAATCTGATGGTGTAGAGACGGTGCTTGCTTTGCATTTCCTCCAAACGCAGAGACTCTTTGGTGTCAATCTTTTCTAATACCTGAAACAGTAAGAAGAACAAATAAATTCAGATGAATGACAACTGTGTCCTTACAAACACAAAAATACATTTTTCCTTCCTAGTGCTTAAACTGTCTTCGGCAATATTGGAAATGGATTCACTATCCTACTGATATGTGAACCACTGCTGCCTAAGTCTCCTTAAAGGCACACCAAGGATATACCGCATATACTCGAGTATAAGCCAACCCGAATATAAGTCGAGGCACCTAATTT